GTAATGATGACCAGATAAACACCAGAACCACAAATAGTTAACACACTGACGAGTTTCTCACTGGACTGTCTTTACATTTCCCACCGTTTTAAACACAGCACGCCTGTTAATGTTGTTTCTAGATGTTTTACTGCAAGTGGTTTTTGGTTTTTGTGAAACTATAGTAACTTAGTTCCAAACTATGAGTAATGTTCACATGAAGCTCTGTTCCTGAATTACGCCTCAGTATGATTTGTTAAAACACAACAGTTACATTAATATGCATAATATGCATTAATGTGCATTTATATATTTTAGATAAATATCAGAGCTCATCACAAACAAATGTAGCCTCATCAGCATTAAAATAAAATAAATACACAAACAAATGAATAACTCTGTCAGTAATTTTCTTATTTATCAATATATTCAACTAGTGTCCTGTTTAATGTATTATTTTATTGCTCCTGTGCTTGAATCATGAAATAATTTAGCTAGTGAACAGACCGTAACATCTTGGTTACATGCGCTTTAGGGCGTGGACCTTCCCTTATAGTAAACCTTTGCATTACTGCTGTTTCTGTGTCTCTAAATACACTGTGAAGAGTTAGGCGCAGAGTGAAGCAGTGTGATCTTTAAATATCCAGTTGATTTGCCAACATAGAGCCTGTCTGAAAAAAATCTCCAGTGTTTTCAGAGATGTCAGGTCCCGTTAGTGTAACAGCTGCCTGGCTCTGCTCTGCTGCGGTCAGCTGACCCCATGACGTCCGCGGAGAGCAGCCTGCTCCTGGTGTTCCAGATGAACCGGTGAGGGTGAGACAGGTGTGCTGTGGACTCAACTTTTCAGGAGCTGCTACTAAAGTAAACACTGAGAATACTTTGTGCACAAACAAACAAACAAACAAACATTTCTTAGGATGCTTTGAAGACAACAATCCTCACAACTAAACTATGGCGCCATCTATGGCAAAGTGCCATTCACTACAGCTAGATTAACCTGTGACACATCTGAAGCTGGATTCATTCTAAGCTGAAAACTTCCTGTTTCATGTTCAATACATCAGACATGATCTTTGTATTCTGCATTCTGCTTTTATTTACTGCTTCATTATAAATGGTCTATGAAATCAATCAACACAAACATCTAAACATTCTATTCAGATTTTTACACTATTATGTGAAGGTGACCAGGTTCAGTTAACTTTGCAGCTTTTTACTACTAAAATTACCCTAATTTCAGTAGATAAAACCCAAAACATACATGATGACATAAAAACAGTTGCATAGGTCGTGTCTGATGAACTGAACATGAAACAGGAAATTCTTTTTGCTAAAATCTGGTCATAACTAATCGAGGTGTGGATGTTTCACAGGTTAATGTGATTGGACTGTTACTTCCACTGACCTTTTAAAACTATTTCACAGTAATGTGCCTTTTATAGCTGAGCATCCTACCAGTGTGCTCATGAAAATGTAAATGTATTTAAACGGAACAGGCAGTTAAGTATTTCATGT